GGTACCACTGTAGTTGTTCATTTTTAATTATTGCATCTGTCCTTTGCTTTATACGTTAGAAAAGGTCTCAGAGCAGCTCAAGAGAATGAAATACAATGACTAAAAGCAATTGAAAACAAAAAAATTGAAAACAATGAAAAATTCAAATTTCATAAAATACTCATTAAAAGGTCTTTCCCACCACATTAAAAGATGAACAGTGCTGTAGGAGGCAACTTGACTACCAAAGGTGTGAATTAAAGGCACCTAAAAACTCATACCTTTGGCGCCAGGTGTGTCTCTCTGGAGAGAGCATCCGACAGACAAGATCTCTTCTATTCCCACTCCCAAACCGATTGTTTCCACGAAACCTTAGCTCTTCCCTCCCACCCCAGAACAAAGCCAAAGCATGTGCAGCTGCACTTATACACACCAATCCCCTGTTACCTTCCCATCCCTCCCTCCTCGTCAGCCCTTTAGTTAATTTCCCTAACTGCTGAAATTTGGATTGTAAGCTCCTTGGGGCAGGGGACTCAATATGTTCCCCCGCATCTTTCAACCTACAACATGTCAATGGATAAATAATAAGGGATGCATTTTGCGCCAAGCCTGACATTGAGCTAGGGATGAAAAGATGAGCGCAGGGTGCCTCTCAGGACAGCCGCATTACGTGCCATTGAAAATCAGAGTTGGCAGGATCAAATCTGCAAGGCACATTCAGTAGAAAAACTGGTGCCGTCCTTTGGTTGTTGGAGCAGCAGTTGCTACCTCTGATGAATTGTTTTAATGCCGCGGTCAGCTTGATAATAGAAGCACATCATAGTAAGCCTGTAGTCCTAATACTTTAATATGCTGCCAACAGAACTAGACAATCTCTTTAATCCCTCGATCACATGTGCACCAGTGCAGCCTTTGGTAGCATGAATCTGAAGTTGTGTGTGTGTGTGTGCATTACTTTCCTGCTCTCCCCGTATTCTGCAGAAGAGAGAAAAATCACAGTATTGCTCTAGGTGCTTCAGTAAGAGAAACAAGAGAGAGAGAGAGAATGGGTTTTCTACTTCCCCCCTCTCCGCCCGCCCCCATCAGAGACTTTCTTGGAGGAAATGGTTGGCATGTGTATACAATATCAAAATAAACTCCTAGACTTTCCTCCCAGGAGTGCCTCAGCAGGAAACACTTGACACAATTTTTCAATGAGCCTTTATGTACGAGATCTCACCCCCCCCCATTTACTAATGCAACTTGAGTTTTCCCATGAGAATGAGACTGTAAATGGTTCTTGCCGCAATCCCACTCAGCTTCAAGCTGATCAAGCTTTTTCCAGCGGTGTTTCAAATATACAGGATTTCTCTTGGAACGTAACCACCGCATAAATTGGGAGTTGCCTATATGGGATATGCCCCCCCCCGGATATATGTATTTTGGTGTCTGGCTCAAAGTCGCTGGAGAATTTGAACTCTGATGTTGTTGATTTCCCCCTAAATCTTTAATGTTTAGCATTGCGAATCACAGGCAGTTAATCCAAGGCAAAGATACACAAAGGCGGAAGGCAGGTGAGCCAGTTATTCAGGTTGATCTGACGACGATGCAGCCCTTGTAACCCCGTTATAAGTCGGCTGGGTTCAGGTTGGCATGGCAGGTGGTTCTGTTCCTTACCAAGCGGTCTAGCACTCCTGCCTAGAAGGCGGAACCTGCTCCACCTGTTGGCATCTACGGGACCTAGGTGATGGAGGAGGCGGGTCTGTCTCTTGGGAGGCGGACTGAGTGGGTGGAGCATTCCCCTCTGGAGAGGTGGGGCTAGACCCAGTGTCTGATGACTCTGGGGTGGGTTGAGCGACAGGTGCATGGTAGTGTCAGAGGAAGGCTGTGTTAGAAATTAGCCAGGCGCGAGACACATTTTGCACCTGCCTATCGGCCACTTCCAACCAGGTGAAGGTGCCTGGGTGCTAGGATGGTGCCTGACAACTGCACCTCTGGAGTTGCATGCCTGGGTGTGTGTGTGTGTGTGTGTCATTGGATCTTGACTGTTTTCACACACTTAATACCACATCCTGTACAATTCTATTCGTTATACTTTATCTGCACAATCCGAATGAATTTTAGGAACTGAAATGCTTTTCCTGTGCAGCATGAGCAGGAGCAGTGAACAACATTAGCAGTTGATTGTTGTAGCATGTCTTCGCTTACCCCCCCACCCCACCCCACTGCTCTGCCCTGCTTACCATTGTGAAGAATATTCTTTTGTTAGGAATGGTCCATGTCCGTGTTGAGAAAAATAGGTAGGAATAGGCTAATAATAAAAATAATAATTTATTATTTGTACCCCGCCCATCTGGCTGGGTTTCCCCAGCCATTCCCGGCAGCTTCCAACAAAGATTAAAAATACATTAAAATGTCACACATTAAAAACTTCCCTGAACAGGGCTGCCTTCAGATGTCTTCTAAATGTCAGGTAGTTGTTTATCTCTTTGACATGTGATGGACATGTGTGGACTGTCCCTAGACCAAGCGACTTGTATTCTTTAAGTACTCGGAGTTCTTAACCTAGCTTAAGGTTGTCATCTGAACTAGCCAGATGTTTAACTGAGAATCAATCTCAGCCAGTTCGCCATTTGAAAAAGAAGGCTTTAGAGCCATCTGGCACCTGGACATTCCATTTTGGTGACTGTAACCTTGGTTGAAGGAGCTATTTGGAGCCTAGCTTATATATCTGAGTGTTTTTTAACACTGGAGATAGGCTCCCTGTGGAGTGGGAGGCAGGGTGAGCAGGCCTTCCCACTGTGACAGGTGGGGCAGAACAGCAGGTTGAGGGGATTCCCCCACTTGGAGAACCTTCCCCAAGATCCTTGATGAACCACCCTTCTCCATCGTCACAGAACCAGTGTGCCCAGACTACGACCTGGGAGACTGGGGTTTGAATACCCACTTGCCATGAAACTCGATGGGTAACCTTGGGGGCCACTCCCTGCCTCTTTGCTTAACTTACCTCACAGGGGTTGTTGTGGGGATTAAATGAGGAGGGGAAGAGTTATGAACACCACCTTGAGCTCCTTGGAGAAGAAGGGATATCAATGCAATAAACAGATATTCATAATACATTGTCTTGACTCGGCCAGGCCATGAGAGTTGGTGCATATGATTGTTTCCAGTCACTCTGAGCCCAGTAACCGAAGCGATTTTGGTTTGAAGGAAAGCGGCTGATGGCTCTTAGAGATATCCAGCTGCTGCTTGAGTTTATGAGAAGCACACCTTCAGATGAACACATTTCCATCACTGCTGGTGTATGTTTGTTTATCTGCAGTTCTCCGCCCTAAAGCCTTGAGAAACGAGTGGGTAAAACCAGGATTATCTGGCCACATCAAAGATACTTCATGTTTGCGTTCTATGTGAAATTAAGGCAAGCAGATTCACAGTATGATGGGTCATCAGATTATGGAGCAAACATCTGACTAATTTTTTTATAGGTGTTTTGCTTTATGACACTAAAATGCTTTCAGCATTTCCCTCACCCAGGGAGGGACCATTGCTGACATATTTTTTTTGCTCCTTTTGGCTGAAGACTGGGATAATGATGCATCAAACAAATCATAAATAAATCTCTGTTGGCTAGAATGCACATTCATTTTTAAAACTGGAGCGCTTCTTCTTTATTTCCTGTATTAACAACATCCATACCTCTGTGTGGTCCGGCAACATTTTAAATATTCTTGATAATCAGGTCCTGTGTTGTCATTTATTTGAGATTGATAAAAAAAAGTTCTAGTCCTCATGAGTTTAGAAGGAAGCTTGAAATTCGAAGGCAAAAACGGGGGAAAGATGCTGATGGATCCATTCTTATGACCATCTGCATGAATGTTGCCTGCTGGGAAACCCTGTATGTGGAGCTGTGGGAAAGGTTTGACTTTTGGCACATGGGTTTTTTGGGGTGGGTGGGTATGAGAATGCTATACCCCCCCAGGTCAAATTTCTTGCGCATGACAAATTCATTTTAGGAAGTGAGACACCTTTCAAGAGATGTTTTCAAGTGTTCTTCTTATGGTTAGCATGTACCCAACAATCATGGAGATAGGCACACAAAAATAAATTTCTAAAGGCTAGCAATGTGCAATATTTTAAGTTGCTGTGAAAGCCAGGCTCTTTCAAAACTGGGGCTGAAGAAGTGTGATATTGGATGTGGGGCTGCTGGTGAAAATGGCAGCCCTGGGCCAAGTTCTCTTTCCACTGCGTGTCTGACATGATGCCATCATGCACCATGGATTCAAATTACAAAAAAAAAGGATATTCTGACAAAACGTTAGAGAGTACCTTCTACTAGTAAGAGCTGTTTCACAGTGGAATGGACTGCCTTGGAAGGTGGCGGACGGTCCTTCATTGGAGGTTTTTAAGCAGAGATTGAAGGGACACGGGTGGTGCTGTGAGTTAAACCAAAGAGCCTAGGGCTTGCCGATCAGAAGGTCGGCGGTTCGAATCCCTGTGACGGGGTGAGCTCCCGTTGCTCGGTCCCTGCTCCTGCCAACCTAGCAGTTTGAAAGCACGTCAAACTGCAAGTAGATAAATAGGTACCACTCCTGCGGGAAGGTAAACGGCGTTTCCGTGCTCTGGTTTGCCAGAAACAGCTTAGTCATGCTGGCCACATGACCCGGAAGCTGTATGCTGGCTCCCTCAGTGTCGGTCATGACTGGACCTAATGGTCAGGGGTCCCTTTACCTTTACCTTTACCTCAGCAGAGATTGTATGGCCATCTTCCAGGGATTGTTTAGCTGAGATTGTGGGGGGTTTGGCTAGATGACCTTTGGGATCCACTGGAACTCTGCAATTCTATGATTCTTCCCCACTTCTCCATTCCCCATGGCTGGTTTGTGCAGGCAAGGAAGTTCACATGCTGAGAATGATAAGCAACCTCTTTGTTGTTCTGTGCCTCAGAATGATACTGTTTTGTGCCGATTAAACAGCTGAGATATATTGCTGCTTTTCGAAGTAATCTGAAGATTATTAAAAAGCAACATGTTTATGTGTCCTAGGTCATCATACAGTCTACATTGGGGTTCACGTGCCTAAGAGTTACCGAAGGCGGAGGCGCCACAGAAGAAAGCCCAAGGAGAAGAAAGAAAAGGAGAAAATCTCTGAAAACTCGGACAAATCTGATGTCGAAAATGCCGACGAGACAAGCAGCAGCATCCTCAAGCCACTCAGTGAGTAATGGGCTCTTTTTGCAATGTTTCTCAGGGAACCACAGTACAAATGGTGAGGGCTCTTTATGGGAGGTATATAACTGAAATATGTGGGCCAACAGAATTATGCAATGAAAAATGCTCTGAGTCCTTGCGAAACCCTACACACCTTAGACCAGGTGCGAAACCCCACACACCTTAGACTAGATGTGTAAAACTTGATTTGCCTTCAGAATTGATTGAAATGATTTGATTGAACATTTTGGGCTTTTTGCACTTTGGAATTTTATTTTATTTTGGTAACAGTCGAGGTTTGTGAGTCAAAGGGCTATGTCTCTCAAGATGTCAGTTATGGATTGATTTAACGGAGCCAAGATTGGGATGGCAAAGATTGAAGGTTCAGTGTTATCTTCCTTCCACGGATCATAGCTTCATAGTCTTTCTCTTTACACAATTTTGCAGGGTACAGATATGTATTTCAGAGTCTCTGAGCTAGATAAATGTTGTTTGGGGGAAGTTCTTGAAGTATCCTTTCATTTAGGATACAGTTGAACAGCTTAGTTTGTTGGAACTGGAATGCCGCAAATCCAGAAGTAGGTGTTCCGGTTTTCAATCTTTGCCTCGGAAGCCAAATGCCTGGCCCGGCTTCCGATTGGCTGCAGGCACTCCTGCAGCCAATCGGAAGCCGGGCCTTGGTTTCCGAACGTTTCAGAAGTCAAGCGGACTTCTGGAACACATTCTGTTAGAAAACCAAGGTACGACTGTATTGAATGCACCGGGTATTATCACCCCAGAGAGGAGCAGCCAAAAATTACTAGTCTCTCAGCTGAGTCAGTGGAGTGGCTCTCCTTCTCTACATGGTTACTTCCAGGTAACAACTGAGAGAGGATCCCAATGGATCTTACTTCTCATGTTGACCTGGCTTTCTTTTTCTCCATCTGCTGCAGCCTGATGGAATGGCTGGTGCTAGCATTTTATGCAAGTTCACAGAGAGCAAGACCTGCCAGTGCCTCGTAGCCCCAATAGCTAGGTGTATAGAAGCAGTGCCACAGTCAGAATATGCAGGGGGATCTCCCCATTTTGCTCAGCTGCTTTGGAACGGGGGAGCAGGGATCCCGGTTCCTTCTCAACCTTCCCATGGAGCAGAGAGCCTCATTGGAGGTTAGGGAGGGCTGTGAGCAGCCAAGGGGGAGGCAGGAGGCAGCTGTGACTGAACAGGAGCTGGAGTAGGGGCAGCTTTATTGCCCAGAACCCAGGCACCTCATTCGCAGATGTGAGCAGACCCACCCACACCAGCAGAGCCCATGCACAGCAATCCTGATATTTCCTGCAAGGCGAGTGAGTCTCTTGTGTGAGCACGCCATGCCTCCTGTTTGAAAGCTTGGCAGGCAGGGTGTGGAAACTTGTTAGGACATCTTCATTGCTTCTCTCTTGTTCTGAACTTCTTGCTTTGTTTCTGATCTCCTGAATCGGGGCTCCTGAGCTTCATTGTCCGCTGCTGGGCTTATACTGTCACTTGCTTGAATAAATGCATCTTTCCTACATACAAGTAGGAGCAGTTGCCCATGTTTGTGTGTTGGCTGGGAGCGTCCCGGAGGCATTTTAACTTGCTGTAGTTTGAAACTGGGTTATGGACTAGATCAGAGGCACCAACCCAGCACAGGGAGCGATAATTACTCCACGTTCCTAATTGGCTCTCAATCAAACTTCTAGGAGGCAAAGTGAGCAGGTGGTCTTGGATTCCCCACCCCACTCCGGGCTTAGAGGCCAGCATTTTCCATCACCTATCAACTGTGAATAAGCTGCAGTCTCTCGGGTACTTACCGGTGGGATATGCTTCCCTCATAACCATACATAGGTTTGGATAGTTGTCCTTGCTGTAAGGAAAAAGTAACCGAAATCCCTCCTCTCCACCTGGCACTGTTATTACTGTGCAGTCTGAAAGATTTCAATGCAACTGTCTCGTTCCTTAAGAGTTCCAAGCATAACTAGCAGGGGCTGCTATTCACAAGATTAGAGGGCGATGGGATTATTGTGTGCATCAGGCTTGCATAAGACTGATTTGCTCAAGACTGGCTTCAGCCAGTTCCTGATTTAACGAGAGTGATGAAAAATCTTCCGAGTTAACAGTTCTGAACTGGGAACCGTAGATGCAGATTTTCACCAAAGGCTTTCAGAGTCTAGTGCGTACGGGGCGGGTGCAGGGGGGGGGCCGGCCGCACCGGGCGCAAACATCTGGATTAGGGCAAATCCCACAGGTTAGGGGAGGCGCAAATACCACGGGTTGGGGCGCAAATTACTTGCCTTGCCCCCGGTGCTGACAAACCCACGCTACGCCACTGTTTCAGATCCCATAGATCACATCTACAGAGTGACAGCACAGGCCCCTAGAAGGGCTGGAAGCTTTGTTTTTCATCACCGTTGCCCATTATTGATGCCTTTCACTGTGAAAGTAAAGCGAACGAGAAAATTATCTGCTTGAAAGCAAAGTCAATGCAAATAAAATTTTTCCTGCACTTGCAGCGGTTGCTTAGGAGCAAAAAGACTTCTGTAACAGAAGTAAAATACAATTAAGATCCCCACAAGATGACAGATCTGTAGAAGAGTATTTTAAATTCACTTTGCTTGGGTACTAGCTGTGTCTAATGCAAAGGATTCAGGGCTCCTCCACACTGTCATTCCACTTCATTAGTTGTTCTGTGACGCTTCTCCAGTGTTATTGCATTATTGCTGTCTGGGTGGGCACTCTTGCAAAACAAAAGAGGGGCCAGCCGCCAACTCAACCACCCCTGGAAAACTTGTGGTATAAAAAGTTACAATATTTCACCAGGAAGCTATGGGACGTGCGCCATTTGGAAGAGAAGCAGTATGTCCACCCCAAAACACTCACAGGTGCAAACAGTATTTAAAGCAGGCTGTCGTATGACCTCCCTGTCACCATCAAGGATACAAACAGGGCCTTTTTTTCAGCTGGAACGCATCAGAACTCAGTCCCAGCACTTCTCAGGTGGGTGCCATTGCCCTGATAAGAGAGCAAGGGAGGCGTTCATGGTGAGTTCCGGCATCCATTTTTTTCCTAGAAAAATAGCACTGGTCACAAATAATCATGAACGCCCACTAAAAAGGGTGACCAGGTAAATTGTTCTTGTAAGTGTCACTTGGATGAACAATGAGAAGCAAAAAGAGCTTTAGTTATACAGTAGTACCTCAGGTTACATACGCTTCAGGTTACATACGCTTCAGGTTACAGACTCCGCTAACCCAGAAATAGTACCTTGGTTTAAGAACTTTTTTTCAGGATGAGAACAGAAATTGTGCTCTGGCGGCACAGCAGCAGTAGGAGGCCCCATTAGCTAAAGTGGTGCTTCAGGTTAAGAACAGTTTCAGGTTAAGAACAGACCTCTGGAACGAATTAAGTACTTAACCCGAGGTACCACTGTATTTATGACTAGGAAAAGAATGGGGAGGGTGTGTGCATGAGGGAGAACTATTCTAATATGCCCACATTTGACAGAGACACAAATAAAGATGATCAATTCTGCCTATTAAAATGCCTGAAATAGGGGCCTCTTCCAAATGGCCTCCATAGGGCACTAGCAAATCAAGTGAAAAGGCTTACATGTCTATCTTCTGGCCCAATCGAGACAAGTGTTTGTGTGTGTGTAAGTAAACAACAAGGTGTTGTTTGGCTGAGGGGCAGGTATCTGCACAGGAAATCCTGTTGATTCAAGGCCCGTGCTTTATTTTGTTCAAAGTTCTTACCCTGCTTTTAAAGCCTAAAAACTGTTTGCTTCAACCGTTACTCCTGCCATTGCCTGTTAAGGGCTTTGTGGCATCTCTTGTGAGGAGGATTAAAATTCTCCCCTTCCACGTTGCAGAGGGAGCTCAGCCTTAAAAAATATATGCGCGGCTCGCATATTCCTCCTTTGCAAAATTTATTTCCCGTATTGCCGCCACATGCTAGCATCCAAAGCATCTCCGAGTACGGGATTGTTATCTCACAATATTTGATCTTGTTTTCACGGGCACTTAAGCGATTGAGCTGAAATGCTGTGCATATGGCTTTGGTTTCATTTTTGAAAAAAGTAATGGCCGCTAATGTGGATCTGACTCAGCTACTCAAATTAATCTATGGATTGCTATACTCTGTGTCTCTGCGGGGATTTCCCCCCTCTCCTCCTGGTGAGTGTGTAATGTAACCTCTGCTACTGTCTCAGCGGTGGCCGTGTCATCTAAGGCCTGAGGTTAATGTGCAGCTTTTAACATTTGTGATTGAAAATGCTGCTTTCCCTGGAAAGTAAATGCTACATAATCTGATTAGGCAGAAAAGCTAGCGTGGCTCAGACTCTTGTTTTTTTGGAAGGCATCCTTCTGCTTGGCTGCATGCTTGCAGGGTGTTGGAGAGTACCTGCCTTTAAGGAATGTGTGAGAAAATTAGTGGTTGAAGATATGTAACAAATTCAGCATTTGGAATTGCCCATAGGTAAGAGATACCAGAGAATCCATTATCAGCTGAAAAACAACAACAGCTAAACCGCATGGCCCTATGTATACAGATGGTGTTTTGCGGTGGTTAAGTGTTAGTGTCTGAATATCTAAACCAGGCATAGGCAAACTCGGCCCTCCAGATCTTTTGGGACTACAATTCCCATCATCCCTGACCCACTGGTCCTGTCGGCTAGGGATGATGGGAGTTGTAGTCCCAAAACATCTGGAGGAACGAGTTTGCCTATGCCTGATCCAAACCATGGTTAAGGATCTTCCTTCCGCAAACTAGGAGCAGGAAACCATGGTTTGAAGTGGGTTATATCTGAACCATTGTTTGAAGTGTGTTTTTGTTTCCTATTTGCGCTGCACCAAGCATACCAGGGTTAAAACCAGTTTGTCTACTTTTCCGGTCTCTCTGCTTGCAAGGTGATAACCTGGCCGCTATGGTTTGTCTGTAATCACACTGTGCATGCACAGACTTTAGTTTGGGAATAGTCCATGTGGTGCCCTCTTCATGTTGCTGGACTCCCAGG